GTTACAAGTTTCACTAGTGGAAAAGTTGTATGCAGTTATTTCCTGCAGGGTCAAACTACATTGCAAAATGTGCTGCATCGCCTGTGTGAAGATACAACTTATGCATTCATTATCACAATAAGCAAAATTATTTAACTACTATTTAAATACATTTGGGCACTATATGTGCAAGTTTTACCAAACACTGCACCAAAGGATTTGCTGCTTTGTACCAATGATAACTTTGTAATATTAATATACCCAAACAGAAAAATTGCTCGAAGGTCTATCTTTTTTCTTAACAGTCTGAAGTTACTGCAGCATTAGTTTAAAAAGAATTGAGCAGTCTCTAAAGTTCATGATGTAAAGCAATGCAGAGTACAAGTAACAGTTTAAATCTTTAACATAGTTCAAAATAGTTATTCTGAGGTTGCACTCCGAGGGCAACTATCCCTTTTGATAGAACAATTATGTACATCGTACATCTGCTAAACTTGCATCCTCTTCTTACCTGAGTTGCTGAGGGTTTTCATGGATACCAACAACCCAATAATAGTCAGATTTGCCCTTGCAATGATCCCTGGTGTTGGAAATAGGAATCCAGGTGTTCCCTAGAGATCTGTTTAGCATTTGTACTATCCCTTCCGAATCTGCAAATACTGGGGTACCTACCAAAAAAAAGTATTAAACAATAGACAACTGTTATGCATATCTAGTGTCAGTTGCATTGTTTTGGCATTGTTAATGGGTCAAAAAGACTAACTAATTTACAATCAAGTTGAAGCTTCAAAACAGATGCATGATTGAGATTCTTGAATTTGAAATTCAGCAGTTCTGCCAAAATATTTAGTACACCTTAAACGAAAAGATACAATACCTGCTGAAGTGAAACAAAGATCTAACTAGCAATGGAATGGGGAGGGAGCCTTTATCCAATGTTAAGGAAACACAATTGTTAAAAGCATATGGCCATATGCTTAAGACCTGTTAAAAAAAAACTTCTGGTTTAAAATATGAAATAATGAGCTAAAATGCCATAAATGCACCACAGGTGAATGCATATTCAAGAAAGGAAGGCTTGGACTTCATTAATAACCCTTCAGCAGTTTTAATGAAGAATCTCATTCAAAAAAATTCATCTTTCTTTTCTATTTCAGTGCTCATTGCCTGTTGTGAAATTTAAGTACTTTCTCAGTTTTTTTCTGATCTATTACATTTATCAATGCATTCTGAACATCGATAGACCGGTGAGCCTGACATTGGTGGTAGGCAATTGTTGGAGGGAAATCCCGGGAGACAGGCTTTACATGTATTTGGAGAGGCAAGGACTGATTAGGGATAGTCAACATGGCTTTGTGCATGGGAAATCGTGTCTCACTAACTTGATTGTTACTTCTTCAAAAAAAAACTCAAAGAGGATTGATGAGAGCAGAGCAGTGGATGTGATCTATATGGACTTCAGTAAGGTTCCCCATGGAAGACTGGTTAGCAAATTTAGATCACGCAGAATACAGGGAGAACTAGCTATTTTGATACAGAACTGGAAGATCAGAAGGTAGAAGACAGAGGGTGGTGGTGGAGGGTTGCTTTTCTGACTGGTGACTGTGACCAAGTGTACCACAAGGATTGGTGCTGGGTCCACTGCATTTTTATCATTTATATAAATGATTTGGGTGCGAACATAGGAGGTATGGTTACTAAGTTTGCAGTGGACTCTAAGATTGGAGGTGTAGTTAATAGCAAAGGAGGTTACCTCGGAGTACAACAGGACGTTGACCAGATGGGCCAATGGGCTGAGGAGTGGCAGCTGGAGATTAATTTAGATAAATGTGAGGTGCTACATTTTGGAAAGGCAAATCAGGGCAGGACTTATACACTTAATGGTAAGGTCCGGGGGAGTGTTGCTGAACAAAGAGACGTTGGAGTGCAGGTTCATAGTTCTTTGAAAGTAGAGCCGCAAGCAGGTAGGAGAATGAAGGCAGCATTTGGTACGCTTGCCTTTATTGGTCAGTACGTTGACAAGGGGAGTTGGGAGGTCATGTTGTGCCTGTACAGGACATTGGTTAGGCCACTTTGGAATACTGCGTGCAATTCTGGTCTCCCTCCTATTGGAAGGATGTTGTGTAAGTGGAAAGGGTTCAGAAAAGAATTACGAGGATGTGGCCAGGGTTGAGCAGTTTGAACTAGGAAGGGCCGAATAGGCGGAGGCTATTTTCTCTGGAGCGTCGAAGGCTGAGGATTGACTTTGTAGAGATTTATAACATCATGAGGGGCATGGATAGGGTAAATAGGCAGAGTCTTTTCTGGTGGGGAAATGGGGGTGTCCAAAACTGAGGGCATAGGTTTAAGACGAGAGGAGAAAGATATAACAGGGTGGTGCATGTATGGAATGAGCTGCCAGAGGAAGTGGTGGAGGCTGGTACAATTACAACATTTAAAAGGCTTCTGGATGGGTACATGAATAGGAAGGGTTTAAGAGGGATTAGGCCAAATGCTGGCAAATGGCACTAGATTTATATAGGATATCTAGTCGGCATGGACAGGTTAGACCAAGGGGTCGGTTTCTGTGCTGTATATCTTTATGACTATATCTGAGCACATCTAACATATATACACCAAGTGTGTCATTCCATTTCCACGTTAGAAGTTCTCCTTTTCTTCAACTGGTAGTACAGAATTTGAGTACTACTGAGAAAAGACATTCTGTCAAAACTTTCAATGCACTCATCAGGGCAGACAAAAGAACTGTACTTTCTCTTCATCAAGGCCTATATCCTAAGTAGTCTATCCTAAAGTAGTTGGAATATTAAGAGTAGACATTTAAAACCACCTTCAGCAGAGAAGCCCTGCCACATCAGATAAGACTTCCTGGTAAGAGGAAGGGGTGTTCCTTGCAAAATCTGTTTTCTTCTTCCTAATTCCATTAATTGCACCCCCATGCATTGATCTCCATCAAAACCAGTACCTGAAGAGAGAAATGTCACATATTTTAGAAAATTAAAATTGTCTTCAAGAAGTTCTTTCAAATCAAAAGGGGTTATTTCAAAGAAATATACCATCCAGCCAAGTGGGCAAAAGTATTTTATTGGTTGTAAAGTGCTTTGAGACATCAATTGGTTCTGAGAAATACTATATATGTCAGTATTTCTTTAAAACAATGCCACAAACGTTGGCTCTGGTTTCTCTCCACAGATGCTGCCAGACCTGCTGAGTTACTCCAGCAATTTCTGGCTGTGTTTCTGATTTACAGCTTCTACAGTTCTCTTGGTTTTTATTTACCCAATTTGAATAATGGAATCCTACAATCAGCCGCTACATTTGGGGAAATCACATGCATGTCAGACAGGAGTAGCTTCATAAAATAAAATGTTTAAAACCCACCATATGGTAATAGTGAATACCTGCCAAATACTACAACTTAACAACATTCAGCACCTTTTGTGTTTTCAGAATGCCCTTATTACTTCTTCATTACTTATTTCTGAAGCATAGACAAGTAGGTATCCAATTCGTGCTTCACAAAGTCCTACAGTTAGCAAACAGGTAATCATCTCATTTGAAGAGATTGACGAGGATTCGATAGGCCAATGGGCCAAGGAGTGGCCGATGGACTTCATTTCAGATAAACGTGAGGTGTTGCATTTTGGAAAGGCAAATCAGGGCAGGACTTACAGAGTTAATGGAAAAGTCCTGGAGAGTGTTGCTAACCAAAAGAGACCTTGGATTGTAAGTTCATAGTTCCTTGAAAGTGGAGTCACAGGTAGATAGGATAGTGAAGGCGGCATTTGGTATGCTTGCCTTTAACGGTCAGTGCATTGAATATAGGAGTTTTGGGAGGGCAAGTTGCAGCTGTACAGGACATTGACTAGGCCATTGTTGGAATACTGCCTGCAATTCTGGATTCCCTGCTATAGGAAGGATGCTGTGAAACTTGAAAGGGTTCAATAAAGAATTACAAGGATGTTGCCAGGGTTTGAGCAATAGGGAGAGGCGGAACAGACTGGGGCTATTTTCCCTGGAGTGTTGGAGGCTGAGGGTTGACCTTATAGAGGTTTATATAACGATGAGGGGCATGGATAGGGTAAATAGTGAAGGCCTTTTCCCTGGGGTGGTGGAATCCAAAACTAGGGGGCACAAGTTTAAGGTGAGAGGGAAAAGATTTAAAAAAGGACCTAAAGGGCAATTTTTTTCACACAGAGGATGGTGCGTGCATGGAATCACCTGCCAGAAGTAGCGGTGGAGGCTGTTACAAATACAAATTTAAAAGGCATCTGGATGGGTATATGAATCAGAAGGGTTTGAAGGGATGTGGACCAAATTCTGGCAGATGGGACTAGATTAATTTCGGATATCTGGTTGGCATGGACCAATTAGACTGAAGAGTCTGTTTCTGTCCTGTATATCTCCGACTCTGACTGACTCTAAAAACAATAAATCACTAAAACGTCAAGAGATTTCTAAATCCACTAGATGGCAGTGCGTATTTACACACGGAAGTAAAATTACTGTCTATTCTGACACCTTGGTCCATCCCTCCTCCACTCAACTGTCAGACCACAACAGTAACTTCCCATGTAAACGCAGAAGGTGCAACACTTAATAGTTACCTCCTGTGTATCCCAAGTCCCGGACACCTTCCAGGTGAAACCGTAATTTACCTGCACGTCATTCAATCTAATCTACTGTATTGGCTGCTCACAGTGCGGTCTTCTTTACAAGAGAGTGGGTATTGCTTTGCTGACCATCTCTGCTCTGTAAAAATGACCCGAGTCAACTGCCTACCACCTCAACACACCACTGTTTTTCCCTGGCCAAATTTTCTGCAATGGTCCAGCAAAGCAAGCTGGGGGAACAACACCTCATCTTTGACTTACAGCCCTCAAGTCTCAATTAAGCATTTAACGATTTCAGTGTGAACACCTCCCTCCATGTCCATTCCTCACTACCACATCCCCGAATCCTCTTCTGTATGGCTTGCTCCCAGCACAGCCAACCCATTCTCAACTATTCACAGTTCCCATTATCACCTATTCAGCACAAAACTTCTTCCCCAGCTTATTATCTGCAAATCTCTTTGTCTGCTTCTGTTTTTTCTCTCTATCTGGGCACCATCTCCAATTATCTGTGTCACTACTGTCACCACCAGCCCCAAACCAGCCATCAGTAGCATAAATGCCACCTTTTCCCAGTTATTTTCCGTTCTGAAGAAGGGTCACTGGATTCAAAACGTAACTCTTTTTCCTCTCTACAGATGCTGCCAGGCATCCGAGTTTATCCTGCAACTTCTGTTTTCGTTTCAGTCTCCAGCATCCGTAGTTCTTTGTTTTATATCACTGTTGATTCTTGCCAACACAACAATTCACATGAGTTGTTAGCACCTTTAATGTTGAAAAATGATGCAAGATGCTTCAGAAATATATAAGCAAAAGGTGGATGCCAAGTCAAAGAACAACCTTTAGAAGAGGTGAGCAAAAATAAGGATGAACCGAAAAGGCAAAGAAATTAGGAAGGGGGTTAATTCTGAGCTGTTGATGCACAAGAAACTGACAGCAGAGAATATGGAAGTGGGTAGCTTTGTAAAACAGGAGGAGTTTACAGAAAGAGGAAAGGAAGAAGCCATAACAGGGATTAAAATAAGAGGATGCAAATTTTAAATCTGACCCAGAAAGAAAAACAAACAGTAAAACTGGAAAATGAGACATCCTGGTCCGGCTTGTCAAAGTAGAAGAAGTGTAAGCAATATGCTCATTTTCAAGTATTACTGTTGGTTTTCTCTAGAAACGCATTGGAAGACCAGGAGTCAATGCAAGTGAGTATGTGCAGGCTGACAGACAACTGAGACGAAGGGTGATATACAAATTATTCTAAAAATGGCAAAAAGAACAGAAGCCAGATAGAAGCACATTGGATTAATCAAGACCTGAGATGAAAGGTCATGGATGAGGGTTTGAGGAGTCAGATAAGGATGGAGGCAAAGAGGAATGAAGTCAACAATTTGGTTCTGGATGTGGTGGTTGACTGCATTTTGCCGATCTTTTGGTTTTTCTTGACTTAGCAAAGACTTGTAAAGGAAAAAAATTTGGGGAAAAATGCATTATTTGCTCCCAAATTATTTTTCCAAACAATGAATGAGCATTTGCAATAATGGTAAATGGGACTAGAGTCAGAGGGCAAAGTAAAACAATATTAAAACTGCAATGTTTCTGAACTAGAACCCTTCTGTTATTAACAGCTGCTGCTACATAATGTATCTCAAACAGCAATTGGCAATGGATTCTAGCTATGATTTGGAGGGATTTTAGAGGCATAAATTAAAATTGGTTTTGAAACCAATTTTGAGGATTCAACAAAAATGATCCATGGGCAAAAACCAAGAGCAGGGGCTGGGCCACATGAAATACAAGAACGTAGGAAATCAGAGAAGAGTAGGGAAGAATAGAATTATATTAAAAAGCATGAATGATGCCATCAAGCCAGGACAGGAGATTAATTTTGCTTCAATGAAGAGTGCAGGAGGGTATGCAAGAATAGCACCAGACATTTAAAATGATGCATCAGCCTGGTGAAGTTACAACACAGATCAGTTTACATGTCAAACAGCAAAAATACCATGTATTACTTAGGGTTAAGCAATCCTACAACCAACCAATCAGATCTAAGCTCTGCAGTTTTGCCTTGTCAAGTGGTAGTAGACAATTAAACGACTAACAGGAGGAGATGACTCCATAAATCTCCCATCCTCATAGATGAGAGAAGCCAGCATATCACTGCAAAAGGCAAAACTGAAACATTTGCATCTATCTTCATCCGAAAGTACTGAGTGGATGATCCATCATGGCCTACTCCTGAAGTCCTTAGTATCACAGATGATAAGATAAACTTAAGACTGATATCAGCCAATGACCTTTTTCATCTATCTTTTAATTCCCAGTTGTAATTTTAAGAAGAACTTGTTGCATTCTGATTTTTTTTTCCCCTTTTGTAAACTAAAAGCTAGTTTCAGTTGGTGGGAATTCTGATGACGTGCTTACAACATCAAACAATGCAGTCGAGCAAAGTTAAAATGCTTTTGAAGAAAAAGGATAGCCTGTCTGAAAAAAAATGTTTTTTCAGGATGTAGCAAACAGGATAAAATAAAAAGTAATCGTATTGCATTTGGATTTTTTTAAAAGCATTTGATAAAATGCACTAGGTATCACGTCTGACACTAATGACAGGGTAACAAGGATACCTAATAAAGTACATGTCAATGTTCAACAGTCTTGACCTAAAAGAGGTGGGGGCAGACTATACGTCACCATTTTACTGTTTAGGTAATCAAAGCAGTAGAGATGGAGCTTGGCAATAGGTTAATAAATAATTAGACCAAGACGCTTCTAGAGGATGAATGTGAACCTGAAAAAGGTTGAACCAGGAGGCCTGTGTCTGTTTTGTAACTTCTATTCATTTTTATAGTGATTAATTATAATATGCTAAAATGGCACCACACTATTGGCCACTGGTTTGGACAGGATGAGAATCTAAATCATAAAGCTGGTTATTGCAAAGCACAAACTAGTAATCTTATTTACAGATGACTGGTGTAGAAGTATTTATATGATCTTTATCTGCACAAAACTAAGCCATGTTATTGCTTTACTTTTTATTTCACTAAACAATGGCAGATTAGGACTGTTTGCTTCAATGTGATTGGTCAGAACAATAAACTCAATATAAAGCACAAAAAAGTACAATGGTTCAGAATAAAACTTTTGAAATATTACCTCGATGATAAGAAATCAATAGCTGTTCCCCATGACCTGACATAGCGACCACAGGCCCCATGAGACTGAAGAGCTCCTTTTGTACACCTCCAATGCTGAAGATGCGAACAATTTGAGCATTCGTCGAAACAGCAGCCCAACCCTGACCTAAACAAATGGCTTCAATGTTTTCATTGTTTGGCATATCAACCATCCATTCTTTGTTTGCATCCCTGGAGTTGAAGTGAATACACTGGAGTGTGCTGATGGACAGATAGAAAAGCAGAGTGTCTGAATTTGCACAAAAATTTCCTTTCCCAACAGCACATTGATAGTTCCTTGTGTGGAGCTTTAAAGGTGACATACAAATTTGGCTTCAATAAGCTGAATGGATTGGAACAGATTTTTTAAAAAAATTAACTTCCCAAGAGATCAGCAGGTTAAGATAATGAATTGCTGAATCATGTAGGTGAAGACCACCCCAGTTCAATCCCCAGTCTGTGCAGAGTTGACCAATCTGTCAGCATAACAGCAATAACATGTCAGCTTGGGTTAGTCAGGAGTATTTTTATCCTTGGTTAACCTTTTGATTTTAAAAGCCACTATAATTTTAAAAATATATCATTTAGGTGAACAGTGAAGAGACCCTTCATTGTCACAGGTGATATCTTTCAGTTGCGACTAATTGATGTATAGCAAACTATTTTATATGAACCAGAGGACTTATCCCGGTCCATTGACTAATATTGCTCTATCAGGCAACACCATTATAACTGATTATCTGATCCATCATCCGTGTTTAATATATAAGGCATCTTGCTATGTTCAGATTGGGTGCCATGATTACCCATATCACAGCATTTCAAACAATGTCCTTTTGCACATCGAGAAAATGGCACAATATAATAAATGTAAATTCCCACATGACAGCGAGTCTTATCCTTTTTCGACAGCCAGAGGAGCTACGTGTCCAAAATTTCAGCTCCTAATCACCATTCAACACGTCCTGCTACAAATAAACATCAGTGGACATAGTGTCATGACCATATTAAGCTCATCTTTGATACCTGTTACAGTTTAATAGCCTGCTTCACGTCACAAAGTTGTGTAGAGCACTCTTGAATTGGAAGGCAGAAAGCTAGAATTTATTTATAAAACAATGATAAAGGAGAACAATGCGTAGTCTCTTTAAGAGGTAAAGTGCTTTTCTAAGCTTTACCTCTTAAAACAGCTGCAAACTACAGACGGTTCTAAAAATTGAAACACGCATCAATTGGCTGTGTAACTGAAAACCTTAGGTTTGTTTTGATGTTTTGGCAACTAGCTTTAATCAGCCAACTAATTTAAACCAAACACTTAGAAACCAAAAGCCAATTGAATTTAAATCTAATCGTGTTGACAACTGGGCACCAATCCTAGCGTAAGAAATGGATGGGTCATCAAGGGTACAAAGGGCATTTGGAAAATCAGCAGAAAGCCAACTGCTATCTGAAGGGGCGACAGCAAATTGCCACCTGAGAAATAAGTATTGGGCTCTCGCAAGACATCGCTCAGCTCTCTAAGAAAGCACCATCTATCCATAAAAGGTGCCACCACAGCACTTCTAGCTAAGAATATTCACAGAGAAAACATCCCAGATCAGCAGAAGAAAGGCGTGTAAATTTTGACAGACTAAGTTTTAATTTATTGTTTTCTTATTACTTGGATTTATACAAGTGGGACCTGTGTTTATTGGAACAGCAGACCAGTAGAATTTAGTTCAGTTACAGAATAGTTGGTAGTTAGGGAAAATTGTTCAGTTTGTTAGTAATTCTGTTAATTTGTTCACTGTTAAATAAATAAATTGTTACTTGTTACTTATAAAGTGAGTCCCAGGGATTCTTTTCATTTAACTCTAACAGACTAAGAAGGGCAAGGTGAGCTTCTCTGGGTGTTTGGGGTTTAATTTTGAGAAGAAAACCTCTATTCCTGCCCAAACAGATTGGTGCTGGTGTTTCGGTTTAATTTTCAGAGGGGTTCAATCTTTAACCTCCCCTTCTTAACACTCCATTCTGAGTGTCCAGTTCAATTACAGCCACCATGTTACAAATATTGTTATTTCCATTGGTTCCAACAACATCAATCTGCTGCACTTTCCTAAATATACTGTTCCAATACGAATTCAGACCCAGCTGGAAATATCATGCAGAGGTGGTATTTCCCATTCAGCAAAAAAGAAAGCACAATATTCATGCTAGGTATGCTTAGGTATCATCAGTTCAAACATATCATCCAGGATCCAGTAATACATAAAAGCCAAGACCTCGAGAATAATTTATTCCCAGTGGTCTATCGTAAGCACAAACATAATTCTGTCCTTTAAGCTGTGCAGATGAGACATAAAAATTGAAATGTTAAGACCTGCCTATCCTTTATAAAAAGAGGCTGAGTGAAGTGCTGTGTATTTTCAATATTTTCTATTTTTATTCCAAATAAGGGTGCAAAGGCCAGTGAGTGGGACTGGCTGGATTACTCTTGCAAAGATCTGATACAGACTCGACGGCCTGAGCGGGTTCCACTAGCACTGTAACCATTTCATGGTTCTAATTTAATGTCCAAACCAGCATCCTAATCTCTCCATTCCTCCAAATCCACGCTCTCATGCTTCCCACTCCATTTCTGGTGGCTGTGCTTTGAGACAACTAGAGATCCAAATCTCTAGATTCCTTTATGGCCTTCCTGAAAACCCATTTCTTTAGTTGTCATTTTGGCAATGGCACCCAATGTACACTTTCATTCAATGCCATTCTCCTCATGCTCCTGTGAAACACCTTAGGGCACTATACAAGTCAAAGTCCTAAACAAGTCAGACAGTCATAGGCATGTAGAGCGCAGGAATAGACCCTTTGGTCCAACTCATCCGTGCTGACCAGATACCCTAATTTAATCTAGTCCCATTTGCCAGCATCTGGCCCAAATCCCTCTAAACCCTTCCCATTCATGTACCCATCGAGATGCCTTTAAAATGTTGTAATTGGACCAGCCTCTACCAGTATGTGTCGTTGGCACACTTTTGCAGACCTCCTGATCCTGCTCCTATATTGAACTATTTTGAGAATCAATCTACAATGCCACAAAGGCCATGACCAGATTCAGCATCCTGTCAGAGCCACTGCCATGATAAAGAAAAGCAGTGTGCACACCAATGAAAGGGAGCTCATGTGGGCCAGAGTCAGTCTACAGACTGCATTTTGGAAAATGTCAACAAAATTGAGAGAATTTTTTTTGGTAACATATAAGGCAAATACTGACTGTAAATATTTAACACACCAAGTGGTACAACACAACCTAAACCTCAAATATATTTTAAAAGTCCCACACTTTTACCTTGGCAGTTCATCGGTTTTTGCACACGCTAGTAACACTGCTTCGTGTGACAAATCAGCCATGGTGTGATTCAGAACATTACTCAAGTGTATTGCATGATGTACTGAAGTATCATGGAATTCTACATCTATAGCATTATCTTGCTCATCACTGTAGCAGCGAATAATACCAGTGGAATTCCACACCTAAAGAATAACAAATACAACTGTGTATTAAGAAGTAATACCATGGCAGACAATTAACAAGAACAACGTCCAAAAGTCAGCACATTAATGAAAAAGATTCAATGGCCTTTATTCAGAGAAAACTTTATGGACCATGTGGAGTTAAGACAATTGCAAAACTAACTCTTAACTGTGTCAGAATTTAGAAGCTGGATTGCCACAATTTATTATTATTTGGAAAAGAAATGAGAGTTGAGTTCTTTAGCTCTCAAATCTCAACGGCTATATCCACAAACGTGGTTTACCTCAGACAGCTGACTTTGATCCCACTGAAAGGAATCATATTCCAAAATGTGATGTCTGTATAATTTATATTTCTTAGTAGTTGCTTTAGAACTGTTGTCAAGTAATGATTGGTGGTATTATAAAAGTTATGGTGAAAGGACTGTTATCGTTATTTTGCGTTTTTTTAAAAAGCTGTGGATTGAAATGAGAAAAAACTGTTTTAAAGCAAGTGTTTGTGAAGGATGGCTGTATGGTTTGAAAACAACTAACTCAACATCCATGGCTAGCATCATGATTGCACAACTGGCTGAACAAGCACTAACTGAAGTAGCTGCAGATGAAGTGGAGCCAGCGGGCGGTTTGTCATCCTGTGTGCAAGTGGAGCTGGATGGCATCACGAAGTTCATTGACTTTGGACTACTGACCAGTTATCGATAAGCCAAGTGATTGTCAGGCAACTGAAGAATTTGGAGCTGGGAACAAGTTATGGAGAAGGATTTTGATGTCTACCACCTCAAATGTTGTCTATGTCCTCTAAAGTCAAAACTCACATTAAGAAATCTAGTTAATCTTCCCTTTAACATTTGCTGTAACCTGTGCAGTTAATCAATAACTCAAAGACATTTTACAAGTGAACCAGCCACCTTGTGCCTCCTGTAAAACAATGGAAGCATTTGGAAAAGGAAAGCCAGGGAGCAACATTCAGATCAGCAAGAACTGACCAAACAGAATTGAGGATGTAGGTTACTAAATATACTTTCTTTACCCCTCCATGTATGTGTTTTATTTTCCTGCACATCTGTCTGTCTACATGCAACCAGGAGTTTATCAAGGAGATTACAGTTTTAATCAGTAGTCTTATATGCTGACAGTTTAGAACTATTTACCTTTAGCTAGAGTCTACTTCATTGGAATAAGTAGCAATTTTGGTTAAATACAGAAACCTGGTCTGTGCTTTCTGTCCACCTTGGATTTAAAGTCAGGTAAATTGGGGAGCTTTGCATAGTTTTCAAAATAGTCAACTTTTATGACGACTTCAGGAATTTGGCTCAATTTCCAGTACGCTATCCCAGTGAGTCATAACAATAGGTCATTCCATAAGATATCACTGGTGTAACAGTAGTCCAAGAAGAGAAACAAGTTCTCCCAATTTCCTGATCAACTACATTCCTTCAACCAGCACCACCAGAAGCAATTCAACAGTCCCTTCATTTTATTGCTGTTTTTGAAATATTCATAAAACAGCTGCTGTCATAAAACAAACTTGAAAATACTTCAGTGGAACATTTGAGATAAGTGAGATAAGACTTTATGTATTAAAATCTACAGAGAGGATAATAATTTCTAAGATAATGTGATGATTGACTTATGTATTTCACCTTTAAGGCAGGGAATGAAAAAATCAAAAGCAATATTTGAGCTTACCATGAACCGATGCAGGAGGTAAGATGGCGTGGAACAAGGTTGAAAAGGCTTTTGTTGTGGTGTTGACACTGGTCCAGAGTATCCTGCAAATGTTGGTGCAGTTTGTGCACTACTAGTTTGGACATTGTCATCATCATCATTATCCATTTTTTCTAACTGGGTGGAAAATCCAATATCTAGAATAAATTTACAAAAGCTTAAGTTGTCATATGAACATCAGGTCTTACCCTCTGCACCCAAATATGCAAATAACGTAAACATTACTTTTATTTTAAGGTTTTAAATGATTGAAAGATAATGAGTACAAAATTAAGATGCATGATACATGTGAGGAATTGCCATATTTTCCCTTTTGATATTTCATCAAATACTTTCTTTTATGCGATCACAAGGTGTAAGCATCGCTGGCTAGGTCAGCAATTATTGCCTATTCCTAGTTACGCGAGAATCATTGAGTCATAGAATCATAGAAGCCCTAGAATGCCGAAGGAGGCCATCTGGCCCATCGAGTCTGCACCAGCCTTCCAAAGAGAATCCCACCCAAACCAGGCACCCAACCATATCACAAACGCACATCTACCGTGGCTAATCCACCTAGTCTACACATCTTTGGGTTGTGCAAGGAAGCCAGATCACCCAGAGAAAACCCAAGAAGACATGGGGAGAATGTGCAAATTGCACGCAGATGGCTAAGGCTGGAATAGCACCTGGGTCCCTGGTGCTGTGAGGCAGCAGTGCTAACCACTGAGCCACTGTGCTGCCCCAAGATGCTGTCACGTTGAACAGTGACAACCATGGAGGGTTAGCACACCCAGTGCCGTTAGGGAGGGAGTTGCAGGCTCCAGATTAACAAAAATGCTTCTAAGGATGAGGAATTTCAGTTATGTGCATAGATTGAAAGAGTTGGATCTGTTCTCCTTCAAGAGAGGGTTGAAAAGAGGCTTGATCATGGTTTTCAAAACCAAAAGGGCTGGACAAAGTGAATAGGGAGAAACTGCTCCCTTTGGCAAAAGGGATTAAGAATTAGAAGACGGCGACTTATGCTTATTGGCAAAAAAAAAGTCAATGCCAACATGAGTAAAAACTTTTAGATGCAATGAGTGGTTAGTATCTGGAATATACTGTCTGAGAGGGTGGTGAAGGCAGAATCAACCGAGATATTCAATGATAATTGAATAATGATCTAAACAGAATATAATTGAAGATAAATTACTCTTGATGGACATGACAGGTTGAATGGCCTCCTGCGCTGCAACCCTTTGATGATTCTATTTATCTTGCCTCCTATTGTAAGCAAAGATCAGATTTAAAACAATGGATGCGTGTGCATAAGGATATTGCATGTACTGGTATAATTTTGGAGCTGACGATTACTGTGGAATCTAAGTTCAACATAATTGATTATGCTGTAAGAATGGTCTAAACTAGCTGAATTAATTTTCTTTCTTTTAAAGGAATTATTGCTGAAAAGTATTATCTGAGATTTATAAACTAAAATTTACCAAGATTTCTTTAAGTAGAATGAATTACACATCAACTTGACAACTTCCTTACTTTCACACAAGTTAAATAATCTCAATTGACAAAATAATGAAAATACATATGGGCAAAAATATCTGACAGATACGAATTCAAATACACTAGCAGTATTTACATTTTCAAAGATACAAAAATTATTCCTTATTCCATACCATTTGAGTTATCATCTTCAATAGCTCGATTATGTCTAGAACGGTTGACTATAGCCATCACATTATCATCTTCACCATCATCACCGTCGTCCACTAATGGTTGCCTCATAGGTGATGCAGGTGACAGATTCATGCCTTTTGTTAACAAGTCACTGTCCTCTTCATCAAACAAATCATCAAATGTGGCAGCATTTGAACAAGAAGCCAGTTCCTAAACAAAAACATTTTATAAATATGCAGTAACCACGTCCAGCAGAATTAACTTTGAGGTATCTGCAATTTTTCTCATTGGTACAATTTCTCTACGGTGAATAAAATTAATACATTTCAGTACTATAAACTGGGGAGCAGATACATCTGTGATGGGAATTCAATGAACACACGTATACACTCAAAGAATGTTAATACAATTGTTTTAATATACAACTAACAGTTCAAATAAATTAGACCTTATAATTGCATTACCAATGACTACTTTGCAGTAGCTTATTGCACACTATACCAGAAATGGTGAACAATGACACTACAAAATTACAAAAAGGCCATGTGTCTGTAATACTATATACTTCTGTTTACCTTGCTGCCAACATTTGCCAAAACCCCTTCATGAAGCCCCAGATTTCCTTCAGCATCTGTATACGCTATAATTCCATTTGAAGGGTGCCATGCAATTGCACAGATGCGATAAGACTTCTCATGCTGAAACCTAAAGAAACACAACATAGCATTAATTACATCACACATTTATCAACCATTTATTAGATTATACTGCACAGATAAACTACCACTGAAGTGGCAATTGATTGACAGAATTTAGGACTTAAAACTCACATATTACACTTTTTGACATAATACATTATAACTTTAGGCTATTAGTAACTTAAATAGTTGAGTATGTTCTCAAGTGTTCAGCAACCAGACTAGCCGAGTTTTTCAGTGCCTTACTGATTTTCAATTAATTCAGTTTTGTGAGCCAAGTGTCACAATTTATTGGAACAAAGAATACTAAGTTTACACTTTCAATTCCATCCATGACAAGTTTCTTCATCTTCAAGTGCATTATTTAGGGAAAGATGGAAAATTAGAAGTGAAATCTTTTTTCAAAGGAGTTAGAGAGAAGCAGAGATCTGTTTTATATATTCACCAATTGCTAACTGAAGAAAATAGGAGTTCAGAGACAGGTCTCAATTTTGCCCACTCTCATCGGTGACTGATCCACAGCTTGGACTAACAGCTAGTTCAGGATATCCAAAGTATGAACTCAAATTTTGATTATTCAATCCAAACCCTTTAAAAGATATTTATCTTCCAGGCTTTACCTCCTATTAAATTCACTCAGCAAGTTCAAGACAGCAAACAGCCAGTTGTATTTTTGTTGCCCGGCCAAGTTCTAAAACGATAGAACTATGCCCAGCGGCTATTCAACTGCTCTGCTGATTCCTCGTACATTTTTGAAAAAGCTTTGTAGAAAGTCATAGGCATAAAGCCACACCTTTGTCAATGTGGCTTAAAACAATTCAGCTGCTAAGAAACTTTAAGTGCCTTTGCTCCAATTATTTTTAAGGAGCCTTAGAACATCACTTTTTGTATTAAACTGTTAAGACAATCATATAGATGCTATTATTGAGAACTCAAAAGTACTTAAAAAGAGCCCCAGGAAGTTCATGTGAGAATTATGCCAGAAATTATTTTTAAAATTATGAAATGTTACACCTCTAGTCTGAGCAGTAAAAATTATTTCCAAAAGTTCAAAGCAATTTAGCAAAGGTTCATATGTTTACATTCCATCCATTAAAAAATGAAAATAATCTATTTTCATTGAAAAGTGCAAACAAAATAAGAATTTTAAATTCATAATTGTTTCTTACTTAGGTATGGACAAATTATCTAAAATACAATTTAATATTTCCACAGTGTTTTGACTTCTCATCAATGAATAATGGAGCCGGATGAAGGAAGATAAACATTTGGACACTAACATATCCTGTACGTAATTCAGTGCGAATTCCATCACAATACCCTCAAACTATAATGGAGTTTCACAAATTACCACAAGAACTATAATACCTTTCAACGCATTTTCTGGTCTGTACATTCCAAACTACCACTGATCCATCAATGCTCCCAGCAGCCAGATAACTACCACAAGGAGACCATGATACAACATTTAATGTCTGAGGAAAAAGAATGGGAAAATAATCATTAAATTTAACATTTCCAAAGAAAACATCAATATCTGCCTTGCTTTTAATTAGCATCCATCTTTGAAAATAAGCACAACTTCTAAAAACAGTTGGCAAAAATACTTGAGGAAAATACAGAAGGATTTCCTGTCTATTTTCTCAAACTAATTTTTGGCAGAAATACTTCTATGATCATCAAAACATTAGTTCTAATCAGCAGGACTAATTATTTAGAGAGCTATTTGCCATGATTACTGCTTCATGAAATGTCCTTCTTTAATATATATTAATGCATTTAATTTCTCTTCTATTAAAATTTCAGTAGAGTTGCTCTCAATTGTAATGTAAACCTTACCATCATAATGCTATCATCTGAAAGATCGTCAGTATTTTCCCAAGTGTCCCTTTCAAAGAGTTTCACAGCTTTTTCTACTGGAACAGCCAGAAACTGTGTGCATGTGCCAAAACAGAAAGACAGAATTAAATTGAAAACATTCAAATTACACGTTTTCTATGAATTGCTAAAATGTAATTATCAAAATCTCGTCATTTCTTAACGTACATGTTACATTTTTCTGGTTAGCAATGCAGAAACCAATCACAATACTTGAAACTCTGAACAAAGCGGAGAGAAAAATGCATAACTAAAGCTAGATATCAACAGCACATTCGACGTACCCAAAAGATCCTACTCCATTTACCAAACCAAACAAATTTAACATCAGGTTAGCACAAGGAGGGTCTGGGTATCACAATGAGATAGAATATAAATTGAACTGGTCTTTAGCTCATAAGTACAGAGCACTAGGAACCTTTCCATATACGTCTACATTGCATCACTCATGGGGTATTTGCTCCTACAAGAAGAATTGCAGCCCCAAGACACTTCCATTAGTTCAAAGGCACTAAATCACCCAAGATGTTAATGCAAAAAAAATCACTGCAGACTTGTTTATTTGAGCTATCAGACCCCAGAGTCACCCACTGAGGAATCACTCAGTACTACCTTCTGTCACAAGGTTCGAATAGTCTGAAGTTGAAGTGACTCCACTAGACCAGGTACCACACTCCAACCTCTTCCATATACTAGACAAGCATACAAGTTCTGCAGCTAATACACTAAGTCAAGGCGAGGAATTCTGTGGGGAATAACTTGGTTTCTGGCTATCATCCCAAAGCCTGTATATTACATTCAAGGCACAAATTAAGAGTGTAATGGAAAACTTGCCAGTTGCCTTAATGTGTCGTAGAAACTGCTCAATCTGCTTTATTGCCACCTGATCTACGACCATTATCATTTACACCCTGTATCAGTGGTGAACCATTATTTTATGTACATAATGCAAGATGCACTGCAAAACTCGCCAAGGCTTCTTCAGTAGCACTTTACAAACTAATGACTTCCACTGTCTGGGGGGGGGGATGCAGGCACACAAGATCACCACCCACAAGTCCCCCTCCAAGACATGGACCATCTTGAGCTGGAATCATATCACTATTCCATCATTACCAGGGTAAAATCCTACAACTACCTATATAAACAGCATTGTAGGACTACCTACACCATAATAGGTAAGTGCTGCAAAAGGGTAGCTCACTATTTACTTCTCAAGGGCTACAAGGGATGGGGAATAAATGCTGGCCTTGCAAATTATAGAATTGACTTATTTTTCTATAGATAGTTATAGCAGAATAATTGCAGTTAATGAAAGATCTGGTAACATAAGCATGGAGCTTTTGTCTGTGGTTGCATGTTATCAAAGATAGGCTTTTGTCTAATTCTCCATGGAATCAAAGGAGAGATTACCATATGGCCCCAGGCTGACAAATTTAGTGGTGCAGGAAACTCACTTTTTTGCAACAAATTTTGTAATAACCTTTGAAGTGAAACAATTTTTTTCAGTTTGAAGGCAAAGTCTTGTGTTCAAAATAGGCTTAGTTTCATAACTACATTACTTTGGAATAACATCTTTTAATTAATTTTACACAACAATTTCTTAAGACAATCCAAGCTGTAAAGTTTCAGTAGTGATAAGGTATGATTCTTGGTAATAGACCAAAGAACAATACAGTACAGGAACACGCCCTTTGGCCCTCCGGCCCTCCAAACCTGTGCCAACACATTTTGCCCTTCCATACAAAAACGGTCTTCATTAAAAGGATCCGTATCACTCTATTCCCTTCCTATCCATGTATTTGTCCAGGTGCTTCTTGAAAGCTGCTATTGTGTCTGCTTCTACCACCTCCTGTGGCAGTGCATTCCAAGTACTCACTACCCTTTGTGTGAAAAGCCTCCTGCTTTCCAGTGAAAACAAATCCAGTCTATCCAAACTTTCTTCATAGCTAAAATCCCCCATACCAGGCAACATCCTGGTAAACCTTTTCTGCACCCTCTCCAAAGCATCCACATCCTACTGGTAGTGTGGTAACCAGAACTGTATGTAATATTCCACGTGTGGCCTAACTAAAGTTCTATAAAGCTGCAGCGTAACTTGCCTATCCTTATACTCAATGCCACTTCCAATCTAGGCAAGCACGCCTTAGGCCTTTTTTACTACCTTATCTGCTTGCGCTGCCACCTTCAGTGATCTATGGACCTGCACACCCAGATCCCTCTGCATATCAATACTCCTAAGTGTTGTCATTCACTGTATAATTTCCACCTGTACTTGACCCTCCAAGATGCATCACCTCACATTTGTCTGAATTAAACTCCATCTGCCATTTTTCTGTCCATGCCTCCAACTGATCTATATCCTGCTGTATCCTCTGACAATCCTCCTCACTATCCACAACTCCACCAATCTTTGTATTATCCACTAACTTACTAATGAGACCAGCCACACTTTCCTCCAAATCATTTAAGTAGATCATGAACAGCACAGGTCCCAGCGCTGATCCCTGTGGAACACCACTAGTCACAGCCTTCCATTCCGAAAAGCATCCTTCCACCACCTACCTTCTGTCTCCTATGATTAAGCTAGCTCTGTATCCGTCTTGCCAGCTCACCTCTGATATCATGTGACTTCACTTTTTGTACCGGTCTGCCATGAGGGTCCTTGTCAAGGACTTTACTGAAGTCCATGTAGACATCATCTTTTATTATCTCCTCAAAAAATCTGATCAACTTAGTGAGGGCACGACTAGCCCCCCTCCCAACACACGCACACACAAACACACACGTTATCTAATCACTAAGTCCACTTGCTTCTCAACGTGTACGGATCTTGACTCTAAGAATCTTTTCCAATAATTTCCCTACCACTGACCTGAAGCTCACAGGCCTGTAATCCTGCTACCCTTCTTAAACAATGGGTCAACACTCCAGATCTCTGGAACCTCGCCTTTGGCCAAAGAGGATACAAAGATGTCTTTCAATGCTCCAGCAATTTGATCTCGTCTCCTTAATATTCTGGGATAGGTCCTATCAGGACCAAGGGACTTATCTACCTTAATACTTTTTAAGACGCACAACACCTCTTCCTTTTTAATAGCAACTTGGCTTAGAAATTTGACAATCCCTTCCCTGAGATCATCCTCAATGAGTTTCTTCTCTTTGGTGAATACCGACACAAAAGTATCCATTTAGGATCTCACCTACCTTTTCAGGCTCCACACAGATTCCTTCCTTTGCCCTTGAGTGGGTCAACCCTTTCCCCAGGTACCCTCTTGCTTTTTATATCTATATAAAAAGCCTTGGGATTTCCTTAATCCTGTTTCCACAACTCCTTTTAGACCTTGTAATACCTTGTTTAAGTTCTTTCCTATTGAGTTCATACACTTCAAGGGCTTCATCAGTTCCCATCTTCCTAGACCTTATGTATGCTTTGTTTTTCTTTTGACCAAGGTCATAACATCCCTGGTCATCCAAGGTTCACACAACTTGTCACATCTATCCTTCATTCTCGCAGGAATGTGCTGCTCCTGAACTCTTATGAATTGATGGTTGAAATACTCTATGTCCAATGTGGATTTACCCTCAAAAAGCTCCCTCCAATTAAAATTCTCCAGTTCCTGCCTAATATTGTTGTAGTTCGCCTTTGCCAAATTTAACACGTTCACCCGAGGACTGCTGTTATCTCTACCCATGGGCATCTTAGGACTCAGGGTATTATGTTCACTACTCCCGAAATGCTCCCCCCACTGAAACTTCGCTCACCTGGCCAGACTCATTTCCAAAAACCAGGCCCAGTATAACCCTTTCCTGGTTGGACTGTTTAAATACTGTGTCAAGAAACCCTCCTGAATGGTCCTTACAAATTCTGCCCCATCCAAGCCCATAGCATAAAGTGAGTCCCAGTCAATATAGGGGAAGCTAAAACCACCCACTACAACAACCCTGCTAATATGACAAGCTAAAGAACAAAAGTTTTTAGTTAACTGCTGCTGCCTGAAACAAGTTATTACAAAGTCACACATAAACAGATGGTTATTTTAACTAGAAGATATTGATGGTTTTGGAATTCTCCAGAATATTTAGATGAATCAGCTCGATATTTGGGCTAATATTAATGACTAGAATATGACACTACATACCTCTAAGCAGACAAAGTACTTTGATAGTATTTCCTTAGTTGGCTTACTAAGTTTATGACTTTTTACTAACAGAGAAAAATTGGAAGGAAAATGTGGTCCCAGAGATAGTCATATTATAATTTTTGACTATCACGGTGAAGAAACTAATCAGGAATTGAGCACACACTACTTTGCCAATCCAAGACTGATCATGTGCTGCTCATGCATCAGCAAAGCCCCAGAGTTCAAGATGCCATTATTTGCCAAAATGAACACCCCAGACCTTAAACAGAAACACGTGTATATTTGAGATCTCAGCAGTAGGAACTAAGAGCACCACTAGAAGAGCTCAAGTAGCAAGTTCCATTACAAGTAAGCCAGTGTATTATCACATAATAGATAAAAACTAAAACCCACTGAAAAGAAGCATCACCATTGGGAGGTCTGAAACTCCAACATTTCATGCTACTTAATGAACAGTTATCAACAGTATGTGCAATAATCTACTCAAAACAATTTTGACATTCTAAATATCCAACTTCATTGAAGTGCACTAGATTTGCCAAGTATCTATTACATCCAGGTCCTTGATTAAAAGACTAAGATAGAAACACATCTTTCATGAGATTGAGACACGTCAAAAATGCCAATTTAAGTCTGTATATTTCCTTCATTCAAACCAAGCTGATTTTTCTCAGGACTTCCCTCTAAGCTAGACTGACATCAGTGGTGGGCACGTTGTTGGAGGGAATCCTGAGGGACTGGATTTACATGCATTTGGAAAGATAAGGACTGTTTAGGGATAGACAACATAAGCTTTGTGCATGGGAAATTGTGTCTCACTTACTTGAGTTTTTTGAAGTAACAAAGATGATTGATGAAGGCAGAGTGGTGGACATGATCTATATGGACTTCAGTAAGGCGTTCAACAAGGTTCCTCATGGTAGACTGATTAGATCACATGGAATACAGAGAGAACTAGCAATTTGGATACAGAACTAGCCCAAAAGGTAGAAGACACAGCGTGATGGTGGATGGTTGCTTTTCTGACTGGAGACTGCGACCAGCGGTGTGCCACAAGGATCGGTGCTGGGGCCACTGCTTTTTTGTCATTTATATAAATGATTTGGATGTGAATGTAGGAGGTATGGTTAGTAAGTTTGCAGACGACACCAAAATTGGAGGTGTAGTCAACAGCAAAGGTTACCTCAGAGTAAGAAGGCATCTTGATCAAAAGGGCCAATGGGCCGAGGAGTGGCAGATGGAGTTTAATTTAGATAAACATGACGTTCTGCATTTTGAAAAGACAAATCAGGGCAGGACTTATACACTTAATATTAAGGTCCTGGGGAGTGTTGCTGAACAAAGAGACCTTGGAGTGCAAGTTCATAGCTCCTTGAAAGTAGAGTCAGAGGTAGACAGGATAGTGACGAAGGCGTTTGGTATGCTTGCCTTTATTGGTCAGTGCATGGAGTATAGGAGTTAGGAGGTCATGTTGCGACTGCACAGGACATAGTTAGGCCACTTGTGGAGTATTGCGTGCAATTCTAATCTCCATCCTATAGGAAGGATGCTGTGAAACTAGAATGGGTTCAGAAAAGAATTATGAGGATGTTGCCGGGGCTGGAGGGCTTGAGCTACAGGGAATGCTGAAGTAGCTAGGGCTACTTTTCCTGGAGTGTCGGAAGCTGAAGGGCAACCTTTTCACGGTTTACAAAATCACGAGGCGCATAGATATGGTAAATAGACAAAGTCTCTTCCCCAGGGTGAGGGAGTCCAAAACTAGAGGACATAGGTTTAAGGTGAGAGGGGAAAGATTTAAAAGGGACCTAAGGGGCAAATTTTTCACACTGAGGATGGTGCATATATGCAATGAGCTGCCAGACGAAGTCGTGCAGGCTGGTACAATTACAACATTTAAAAGGCATCTGTATGGGTATATGAATAGGAAGGGTTTAGAGGGTTATGGGCCAAATGCTGGCAAATAGGACTAGATTTATATAGAATCTGGTCAGCACGGACGAGTTGGACCGAAGGGTCCGTTTCCGAGCTGTATATCTCTATGACTCTATGATACTGGTACTGTTTTTACACTATTGCCCAGAGCAGATGGCCAATGCACCAAGCATCTACATTCCAGTATTAAAGTAAACATTTCAATGCATTCTATTAGAATTGAAGTAATTTTATTTATTTAACAGTGTTTAAAAAAATTATTCACATTCTACAGATTTGTACAAATCAGAATCATTTCGAGCTAAATATTATACTTCTCTTACCAGGTGACACACTGCAACAGCAGTCTGAGAGTACTGACTGCATAAACAACTGAGAATCTTAAGCACAAAAACAGAAGTTGCTGGAAAAGCTCAGCAGGTCTGGCAGCATCTGTGAAGAAAAAAATCAGAGTTAATGTTTCGGGTCTGGTGACCCTTCCGCGGAACCCTTCTGTGAAAGGGTCACCGGATCCGAAATGTTAAGACTGATTTTTTTCTTCACAGATACTGCTAGACCTGCTGAGCTTTTCCAGCAACTTCTGTTCTTGTTCCTGATTTACAGCATCTGCAGTTCTTTCAGTTTTTATGAATCTTAAGAGTTTATCAATCATGAAGAAGAGGGCAACCACAATTCATTTACGTAAAATAAACTCCTTTAATTAAGTATCAGTAAACCCGAATACATGCAGAAATAATTTTATTCCTATTACATTTTATGTCCTTTCATTTCAGATATCTGACCTCAACTGTTTAACCCAAATAGTACTAGGATTATATCCCTGACCGATGCAATATTCTCTTAGTCTCTTTTGTAAATACAATTTTATGGTTTCTCTTAAGATATTTTTGTATGGTGCTAGTTTTGTATTCACCTTTCCAATCTTCGGTTGCCACTCAAGTCGACAGATTGATGTTGCACGGTTCACCTCATTGAATTTAGTTAACAGTGGCCAACTTGCTACACGTGTCTACGAAATAGAAAACACAACTATTATTGCATGTGTTAACTGTATTTTACTTCAAAGCAAATTTTATAGGATTGCATAAAAGAGAAGAAATGTTAATGAACGTGACCACAATGCAGACTTCAAATTCACAGCGCACTTCAATTTAAAATTAAGATTTTTACACATGCCACCTTTCAGTAAAACTTTATCCAACAAAACCAGTACTGATGCACATAACAACATGACCTCAATCATAAAGATTGGCCAACTTACTTGATCAGCAATTTTCCAGACACAAACTGATCCGTCGCAACTAGAGGAAGCCTGTAAAACACAACACGACTATTACCTGCTTAATAATTTAAGCAGTAAACCATGAAATTGTTTGAATGTGTGCAAAACATTTCTAGCCTGCACTGTAGTCATTTATAACATTCAAAGCTCAGTTCTGAGCTTTTAACAGGAAATGTCAGCAATGGAGTGAGACAGAGAGAATGGAATTCTAGGCAGGTTAGCCTAACATTTGTTGATGGGAAAACATTGGAAACTATTATTAAGAAATCAGCTGCAGGGTATTTACGAAATCACAACACAGTCAAGCAAAGACAACATAGTTTATTAAGTGAGCAATAGTGTTTGAAAAAAAAATTAGATTTCCATGAGGAGGCAACAAAGGCAACTTTAAATCTTGCATAATCATGGTTTG